GCTGCTGCTGGCGCGGTGAGAGGCGGGCGCGACCCCCGACCCGGGCTGCCCCTGGCGCTTCCTGGGTCCTGCTGGCGCCAGTGCTGGGGGGCCTGGGACCTGCCCTCGGGGTGGCGGGTCCGGTGCTGGGGGCAGGGGGCGCCTGGGTGTGGGGTGCCCAGAACGGGGGTACGTGGGGGCCAGAACGTAGGCATTGGGGGTGCCCAGGGGCGGGTGCTGACCCACGCTGCGCCCGCAGGTGGTTGCTGTGCCGCCTGGCCGTGCGCTGGTGCCGGCGGCGGCTCCGCGCCGAGCTGCGGGTCGGCGGCTTCCTGCGGCTCCGCAACATCAGCCTCGAGTTCCCGCAGGAGCAGCGGGTCGTGGTGAGTACTGGGCCTTGCCTCCCGAAAGCGGCGCCGTTGGGCGGCAGAGCCCCGCTGAGTCGCCTCTGTCCCCCCGCAGGAGATCGACAGCGTCTGGATCTCCAGCAAGCTGCTGAGCCACGAGCTGCCGTGAGTACCCCAGGGTCCCCCCTTCGCTGCCCTGCTTCGCTCTGAGGCTCCGCTGGCCCTGGCACTAGGGCTGTGCTGGGCAGCAAGTGGGGGCACCCGTGGGTGGCTGGGTCGCCCCGGGGGGAGCCCTGGTAACGGCCTGTTGCTGTTTTTCCATCCAGGCGCTACTTGGCGCTGTGCTTCGGGGAGGTGCGGATCCGCCTGGACCTGCAGAAGGCCCCCGGGCACCTGCCCCCATTCCCTGCGGCTCCCGGGGACGGCAGCAGTGAGGAGGGCGAGCGGGAGCTGCCTGTGAAGCCCTCCCTGTTGCGGGTCCTGAGCCAGGTGAGGCCTGGAGGAGGAGGGGAGCTGGGGGGCGGGGGGCTCCCCCAACTGTCCTCACTGTCTCCCGGTCCTCAGCTCGTCTCCGTGCACGTGGACTCTGTCAATATCATGGTGCTGCACGTGGCCACCTCCGAGTCGCTTTGGCACATCCAAGTCACCAGGACCCGGCTCCTGCTGGACAGCGATGGCAGGAGGTAACGTGGTGGGCTGGGGCCAGGGTTTAGTTGCCCACAACCAGGAGAGCCCAGTTCAGTCAGCGACTCCTTGCTAGGCAGCGCACATCCACCACTTGGCCCCTCTGCTGCTCCCCGGCTCATCCCCAAGGCCACGCGGTGGTGGTTCTGGAGCCCTCTCTCCAGGGACCTGAACCGTTCTGGTACCCAGTGGGCCCTTCTGAGGGTGGGTCAGGTGCCCTCTGTCCAAGAACGCGCCGTGGCAGCCTGCTCCCCCTTGCAGAGTGGCGGTAGCTCGGGTTTGGGGCAGCAGTGGAGGTGGGTGGGGCTCATCTCCCTTCTCCTGCCCCCCAGCCTGGACTGCGAAGTGACCTTGACGCAGGTGAACAGCAAGGTGCTGAGGAGCAGCCAGCTGGTGAGTGTTGGGGACCGGTGCCCTGCAGCTGCCTGGGTCCCCTGGGGAGGAGGCCGGGGTTGCAGCTGGAGCTGTGGGAGGAACCGCACCATTGCTGCTGGCCCTGCTGAGCACAGCTGGGGCTGTGGCACCAGGAGCCCTGGAGCCGGCTCCAGAGCACGTGAGCTCCTCTAGTGGGAGGTGCCAGCTGGACATGAAACCCGCAGCATAGAACAGGGCAGGGCTTGGTCTCTGGGAGAGGCGGTGGCCTGCGCTGGGCGCTGAGACCAGGCTGTGCTCAGGCATCGCTGGGTACGGGAAGGGCAGGCACGAAGCTCTGCCTTGAGCACGGCCTCCCTTGGGAGGTTGACGGGCTCCTTGACTCCCCTCCTCTTCCCCACAGGACGACACATGCCTGGCGGAGCTGGTGCTGGCGCTCTCCCTCTCTGTGCAGGTCAGCGTGAGCAAGCGGCAGCTGACAGGTGTCAGCCTGGGCGTGTGGACTCTGCAGGCCGAGCTGCACGAGGGGCTGTTCAGCAGTGAGCTGCTGCGCTGGGCGGCCCGCGGCGAGGGACGGAGCCATGTCAGGGATCCACCTGCTGACCCTGCCCCAGGTTTGGTCCTCGCACCTAGGGGGCTGTGGGGGTGGGGAATGGGTACCTGGGGCCCCCTGGGCTCTCTGCAGCCCTAGGGGTGTGGTGGGAGCTGGGATGGGGGCAGTAGGGCTGGGTGCTTCCAGGGAGGAGTGGGGAGCTCTGGGCTCGATGGCTTATGACTGTGTCCCTCCCAGGCCCTGAAGCGGCTCCCACAGCGCTGTCTCCGCTGGGTGTGGGTGCCCTGCAGCTCATCCCCAACAAGGTGAAGGTGCAGCTGGAGAGCACCAGCGTGGTGCTGTCAATGAACAGCCAGAAGAGGTAATGGCGGGCAGAGAATGGGTCCAGTGCTAGCAGGGGCTGTTGTGCTACTTGTCCCTGGTGCAGGGGCTCTTCTGCCCCTGGTGCCCGGTCCCTGTCCATCCTCCTTGGCTGTGAGCCTGTGGCAGGCGAGAATGTCCCAGGGGGCTCTGGGCAGAGCCAGGCAGTGGCTCTGGGGCCGAATGAGCGTGGTCTCGGGTGGGGGCAGCACCCTTGGAGACGAGGAGACTGCCAGCTGGTGCACGCTGGGCTGGGGGGCAGGGCGGTAGGAGCAGTGGTGCGGCGGGCCCTCCCCTCATGCCCTGCACCTGGGCCTGGCTGCTGCAGGCACCTCACGTGGACCCTGAAGCTGCTGCAGTTCCTGTACCAGCGTGACGAGGAGCAGCATCCGCTGCGCAGCTTCACGCCTGCCTCTGACCTGGACCAGATGAGTGTGGAGCTGCTGCTGGAAGGTGAGTGCCAGGCAGGCTCCAGGGCAGGGGCAGGGCTGGCTCAGCCCAGGGGGTTCTCGCGCAGGGACCTCTCCTCCTGGCCCAGACTGTCCAGTTTCACGTGGTGTGTGCGCAGTGGGTGGCTGCAGCCCTGGCCCAGCTAACCCGCTGCTGCCCCTCTTCCTGCAGATGGCCTGCTGCTGTCCCAGAGCCGTCAGCGCATCGTGTGCCTAAGCTCGCTGAAGTCCAGTGTCCAGGTGAGCGTGCCTCAGTGCCTGCTGTGCCTGGGCTCCCTGCCCCTTGGCACCCCTGTTTCTCCACTGCCTGGTTCTGGCTCCATGTGTGGAGCTGGGGGATGGATCCCACTCTCACCTCCCTCCCTGCTGCCAGGTCACGGCAATCGACGTGTCGGCTGCTGTGCTGCTCAACACCTGCATCGTCCACTACCGACACCAGGAGTTCTCGCACTGGCTTGGCGTGCTGGCGCAGGAGAGCCGGGGTCGCTCTCCGCTGCCCACCCACCAGGGACGCAAGGGCAGGTGAGTGCCGTCCCCCACCAGGGCAGCTTGGGTGTGTGGTGTGCGTGTCTCTGGCCTGCTGCTGCTGGTTGTCGTGGGTCTGTACTGACTGCCCTGGGAGCTAGGCCAGCCATGTTCCTGACAGAGGGGCCTCCTCCAGGCTTGGTGCTCAGCAGGCTTGGCCGGCAGGGCTCTGTGCCACTAACACTTGGTCTTTCCCCGCCCTGTGGCAGGAGCTGCCCCCAGATCCTGGCTCCCATTGTCTTCTCTGCCTCCCTGTCCAATGTCAGCGTCTCGGTGCAGCTGGGGGACACACCGCCTTTTGCCCTGGGCTTCAACTCCATCACAGCAGGTGCAAGCAGCTGCTCAGAGACCTGGCTGATGTGGTTCAGCTTCTCTCTTGGGGTTGGGAACAGGGGCTAGGGCTTTGCTAGTGGCAGGTGCATAATGAGGGGAGCCTAGTTCAGCCCGGGGTTCTGCAGAGACAAACCCTGTGGGCCTGGCAGATAGGGTGACAGGAGTAGGCACCTTGCAGTGCGTTGGCTGTCCATGTGGGGGCATCCATACCCAGGGACTGCCCCAGGAGGGGAGGTGTCTGGGTGGCCTACATGGCATGCGCTGGCCCAGCCCACATTCATCCTGGCTTTGCACCCACAGACTACCAGCACCTGCGCCCCCAGACCATGCACCAGCGGGCGCTGCTGACCATCGACCACCTTTGCTGGCGTGTGGGCCCTGACTCGCACATCCAGAGGGCCCTGCACCCGCCCAGCGCCCATGTCTGGGGCGAGGCCCTAATCCTCGACTGTTTCAGCTTGCAGGTGAGTGCAGCGG